AGCTGACATCAATTTTTTCTTATCAATTACTTTGCTTTAACCCACGCCAAGCGTGAAGTTAAATATATTTTCTAATCGATTTTAATATTTAGATGATATTCTAATATTTATAAACATACAAAAATGATATGTATTGAACATAAATGTCATAAATTTAAATTTTGATCAAGCATATTTTGATGTTATATGCTTTGATCAATTTTACATCAAGTATTAAAACTAATGCAAATGTTATTTATTTCAATTATTTGAAGTGTATAATTAATTTTTATTATTTGTGTAAATTATAGCTACGATAAATCAAATAAATTTTAGAAGTATATGAATTTGTGGGACATAACAAACGAAAAATATATGTTTTTCAATAATGAAAAGCAAAAATATTTGTAATCCTAGTTGTCGTTTACAAATAAATAATATTGTTGCAAATATAATAATGAAAACTTCTTCATGTATCAATTTTTTTAAAAAATAGATCATATCGTAAGTCTAAATATTACATTTAGTTAAAGTTAAATTTGCAAAATGTGTATAACTAGTTTATAATATAAAATTAATTAAAAAATATAGAGATTTCTACCATAGCATATGATTTGAATTAAAATGCTTTCATTGATTAATTTAAATGACGTGTTTCTTAAAATCTCCATTGGATGACAAATATGATTTTTTCACCAAATATCTACTCAATTAATATATAGAGGATTAGTGAAATTTTTGAAAACGTTTCAAAATTATGACATTTTTGAAAAGTGGTATATTAAAAGTGGTATTTGAAAATAAAATTTTTTATTTAATATAAGTGTCATGTAAATTAAGTTTTGTGAGATAAAAAATATTTATTTGTATGGGAGATATCTACTATTTGACATATAGATAAATATGTTTATTCTTTCTTATTTTTTAGTTTCACATATTTTAATCTCGCGCTTGACTAGGGTAAAAAAATCTAATAGTTATTGAAAAGAAAATAAGATATTCCCAAATATTTTCTATATTTTTTGGAAAAATCATTTTCAGCTACACCAACTATTAGCTAATATGTTGCAAACCATCTGAAGTATTGAAATGTTTTCTAAACTACACAGACTAATATATAATACATGGTGACATACACTAAATATATGTAAACATGTTAAAAACTACAAATTGGAGTTTTTTGATAATTTTTATTCTATTTTGGGATCAATGTGGAATTATTTTCTTAAAATATCATTTAAAATTCAAAAAAAAATTGAAAACACACAAAAATCTGAAAAATAGAAAAAAGTCCATAATTTTTTCAAAAAATAAGATAAAATAATAATTTCATTTTCAAAAACCTAAAAATATTTTCAGTTTCGAAAATATTTTTTAAAAAATTGTAAAATCCCAAAATTTCTAAGATTAAAAAAATCTGAAATTTACAAAATAAATCTGAAATTTTTAATTTCTACAATTTTCAAAATCACAAAAAAAAAATCTTAAAGTTTAAAAATCTTAAAGTTTAAAAATCTTAAAGTTTAAAAATCTTAAAGTTCAAAAAATCTTATAGTTAAGAATCTTAAAGTTTTAAAAAAATTCCAAAAACTTACATTTGCCAAAAACAGTCCCAAAAACTTACAGTTTA